GTCGTTGCGAGAATGGGCCGTGCGAAACCACATAAAACACGCTCCTTTGCGGAATTAATGGACATAATTAGGCCACTGAAACAGTATAAAACTGTGTATATTCTCATCTATCGGTAAAAAAGACAACTACCGGTATGTGCAGTTGCTAAAGGGTTAGAGACACAAATAAATAACAACAATTAAACTAATAACTTCAGCAAGTAACGATGAATTCTGATAAAAATATCTATTCCACTTAGCTTTGAAAGATAAGTTACGCGCCTTGACCTTATATATTTAAATGGTGGCACCTGCTTTGCCAAGTTGGACCTGGCTGATGTATACTTGCAGATCGAAATCACCACAGTGTCACGCGAACTGCTGACGATAAACACACACCATGGTGTGTTCCACTATATCAGGCTGCCCTTTGGTGTCAAGGCCGTTCCGGCCCTGTTCCAGCAAACAATGAACGCAGTGATCCCCGGCATTCCTGGCATGGCTGGGTACCCGGACGACATAATCATCGTGGGTCGCTCCTCGGCTGAGCTGCATGACGGAATGTACGCAGTACTTGATCGCGTGCAGGAATATGGCTTCCGATTGCTGGCCGACAAGTGTCCACTTTTCCTCGAGTTCATCTAGTAGGTCGGATTCATCTTTGAAGCCACTGGTCGCCATTCAAATCCTGAAAATATTCGTACAATCCAACGGATGCCTGTACCTAAGGAGTGCCTGCTTATTAAGTTCAACTTCCGCCGTTACGTGCTTTTCGCTTACATTCGAAACCTTGTCGAGTTTGATGGTCGCATCGGTTGCTGAGTGATTCTGTTTTTGGAACTAGAAACGTTTTTCATTTTCTTTGCGTTGGCCTTTTATCCTTTTTTTTTAGATGGATGCCTGAAAAATGGCCTTATGTTATTAACCTCAGTTTCCAAGTGTAAGATTTTTTTCTGTAGGAGAGTTGAACGGGCAGCATAACCTTCATTAGAGTATGTTACACGCTTTAGAACTCCTAGGTTTCTTGTTCGCTTAGCAGGAGGCGAATGAACGGCAAAATGCCCATCGTTAATATTTACTTAGTCATTTGTGTTGCTCTTATTAATTAAATCAGAAGATGATTCAAGAGACGGTAGTCTAGTTGGTTGCCACAAATCTCGTGATTTGCGCATGGTCATTATTTTACCTAAGTACTAAGTCTGTTCTAATAGTGCCCTTTTGGTGCTAAAAATATATAAAATTCATTTATAACTTCTGCGATAGCTGCGGTTTACCTTGTTTGCTATTCTGACAGGGAAGATAACGAGGCCAGCCACTACGTTGACAGGCCCCTAACTTATTTTAAGAGCAATACAAAACAGGAGCCGATAGTGGGCCGGAATGTAAATGCCCTATTGTTACAAAAATACATTTGAGGATACTGTAGTCTATTAATAGTCAATCCTTAATTTTGTTATCAAGCCTAATGTCCTAAGCTCATTTTAAAAGGAGAACAGGGTATGAGAACATGATCTTAGGTCATATGTAAGGTTTAACGTTAATAAATAAGCATTGTACGTAACTTCTGCCAAACATTCGGATCCTGGCACTTAACCTCGCGAATTATAGAGGTTTTGATGAATTCTAAAATGACTGCAGAGTAT